TTGGATCTATTGTATCTATTATAGTTTCCGAGAAATTCAATGAAATGTGAAAACACTGCTTTTTTTTCCAACGCTTTTCCAACTTTAAAGATGAATTACAGCCAAACCGATAAAACCACAATAATAAATAAATACTCGCTGCATTCCCCAAACTTTCAGCTTTCATATGCATCTATTGGATCCATTCTATCTATTATAGTTTCCGAGAAAATCAATGAAATGTGAAAACACTGCTTTTTTCAACGTTTTTTCATCTTTAACGACTAATTACAGCCAAACCGATGAAACCACAATAATATATGAATACTCGCTACATTCCCTAAACATTCAGCTTTCATATGCATCCTTTGGATCCATTCTAGCTATTACAGTTTTTAAGTAATACTACAATTTAATTGGTGACCATAAAGTTGCCTATAATAAAGGCAATAGTTAACGGGTTGCCTACAATAAAAACTACCTAGCAATTTTATTCAGTTGGCTTTTGTCATTTATATAACAAGTGTAACTGGTTGCCTACGATAAAATCTTGTTCTCTCATTTTTGCTGTTAGTTAATTTTCTCATAATTATATTAAAAAAAAAGCTAATTTGTCATTTTCTATAATTATGTAATAAACTTTAATTACTGTTTTCTATAATCTAATGTTTAAATAAAAAAAAAATGAGTTTTCTTCAAAAAACTAATAAAATCAAGATTTTATCGTGATGTCATTTCTTCCATATAATTATGAGATAACTGGACGTTGTTGTAATGCATCCACGTCTCTTTCCTCTTAAATCTTAAGATACCGGAGATGCAGGCACGCGAGGAATCCGTTTCCTTTTGATCCCGTTGTCTTTCCCCCCCAACCAAATTAAACGTGACTTCAATATGCAATTAGTTTCCTCTCCATCATCACAAATCCAACGTGCTTTGCATATCAATAATATGCACAACCATCTCTAAGTTCTTGCACATTTCTGTGGACTTGAAATGTCCGTACCGTCTCGTTGCACACGAGCTCTCGCCTTAATACGATTGATTATAATAATAATTTCTTTGATTCGCTTCTGCTGCTACTCCCCGTCGAGGAGGGTCTTTCGAAGCCGTTGAACCTGTCCAACCAACAGAGATTCCAAACGTACTTCGTTCATAGAGGACAGACAGCAATCGCACACAAAGTTTAGATTTAGATATGTCGTACAATAACATTCTCTCATTCCATCATATCAAAGCACAATATTGATTCAAAACCTATTTGCAAATCTGCCAAGGATCGTTTGAGAAATGTAAATATTTAGATTATAAAAAGTAAAAAAAACTCGTTTCTTTTAATACCGAATTCTTTAGCAAAAATAAAGACTTTCTATATCAATCATCTAACGGCAATCCAAGATTCTTAGTATTAATTTTAATGAGAAGTTTGTAATGAATTTTATGGTAATATTATTGTTTCAATGAATTGAAGAGGAAAAATAGAAGAGTTGTTTTATTTTGGCAGCAACTTTTAATAATGATTAATCAATCTCCGACTCTGGGCAAAATAAGTTACGGAACAATTCTTCCGTAGTAAAAATATGTATTTAAATTATAAAAAAAAAAGTATAAATATTTCAGAATGAACAAAAACAAAAAATTTATATATATATTGGGATGAACAAAGTCATGAGAAAGAAGCGGTTTTCTTTTTTCAATAAACGTTCAATATTAAATCAAGCGAAAAGGAAATGTTTGAAAAATCGGTGTGTTGTCCCATAGTCTGGGATTCTTAAGATTTCCTTTTCGTTTTTTTTTAAATTTATTTGTTTATGTAATGAACGTTGAAGAATTTGAAATTAAAGAAAATGCTATTAATAAATTAAAAAAAAATCTTCTTCGTGTTTTTCTTTCGCGTTATTATAAATATATATAATAAGTGAAGGTTGCGAGATTCTCTCGGTTTATAGGTGGGTTTAAATCGGAATTTGTTGTTGTTATTGTTATTATTAAATCTCGGTAAACAACGTTTGCTTTTTTATATATATATTTATGTTTTTATTAAGAAAAAATGTATTAAATAAAAAAAAATCAGGGTTGTTGTGGGGGGTGGGTAATTCATCTTTTTTTTTTGTTTTGTTTCTTCTTTATCGATTTATCGAGGGGAGTGTTGAATAATAACTTAGTTCTCGTCGACTTCGGCTTCCTGCTCCTCGTCGAATTCGGCGTCCTCGTCGGCGGTGGCCTCCTGGTATTGCTGGTATTCGGAAACCAGATCGTTCATGTTGGATTCGGCTTCGGTGAATTCCATCTCGTCCATGCCCTCGCCGGTGTACCAATGCAAGAAAGCCTTGCGCCTGAACATAGCGGTGAACTGCTCGGAGATGCGCTTGAAGAGCTCCTGGATGGCGGTGGAGTTGCCGATGAAGGTGGCGGACATCTTCAAACCGCGCGGCGGGATGTCGCAGACGGCGGTCTTGACGTTGTTCGGGATCCATTCGACGAAGTACGAGCTGTTCTTGTTCTGGATGTTGAGCATCTGCTCGTCGACTTCCTTCATGGACATGCGTCCTCTGAAGACGGCGGCGACGGTGAGGTAACGGCCGTGACGTGGATCGCAGGCGGCCATCATGTTCTTAGCGTCGAACATCTGCTGGGTGAGTTCGGGTACAGTGAGAGCCCTGTACTGTTGGCTTCCTCTGGAGGTGAGAGGAGCGAAGCCGGGCATGAAGAAGTGAAGACGTGGGAACGGTACCATGTTGACGGCCAACTTCCTCAGATCAGCGTTCAGCTGACCGGGGAAACGAAGGCAGGTGGTGACTCCGGACATCGTGAGTGAGACGAGATGGTTGAGATCTCCGTAGGTCGGTGTGGTGAGTTTCAATGTCCTGAAGCAGATGTCGTAGAGAGCCTCGTTATCGATGCAGTAGGTCTCGTCGGTGTTCTCGACGAGCTGGTGGACTGAGAGCGTGGCGTTGTAGGGTTCGACGACGGTGTCTGAGACCTTCGGCGACGGTACGACCGAGTAGGTGTTCATGATCCTGTCCGGGTATTCCTCCCTGATCTTCGAGATGAGCAGAGTTCCCATACCGGATCCGGTGCCGCCGCCCAAAGAGTGCGTCAGCTGGAATCCTTGAAGGCAATCGCACGATTCCGCTTCCTTCCTCACCACGTCCAGAACGGAGTCGACGAGTTCGGCGCCCTCTGTGTAATGTCCCTTGGCCCAGTTGTTACCGGCTCCGGATTGTCCGAAGACGAAGTTGTCCGGCCTGAAGATCTGACCGAACGGGCCGGACCTCACGGAGTCCATGGTGCCGGGTTCCAAGTCGACGAGGATGGCCCTCGGCACGTACTTGCCACCGCTGGCCTCATTGTAGTACACGTTGATCCTCTCCAATTGGAGGTCGGAGTCTCCGTGGTAAGCGCCGGTCGGGTCAATGCCGTGCTCATCGGAGATGATTTCCCAGAACTAAAACAATACAAAAATCAAAAAAAAATTAGTAACACATTCTCAACACAAACATCTTCAATTATGATTACAGATCGAGAGAAGATTACTACCGCCGCCACGCCGTTGCGCAAGTATTTCAGCTCTTTATAGCGATGATCACAACTACACGCACACAGAGACTGCTTAAGGTATGTAGTAATAGTAACAGTATGTACGAATCCGTTTTGCAAAATTAAGCACACTTCGATCCAAATACCAAAACAGCTTCATTTATCCATCAGTTAATCAAACTGGAACGAATCAATTTCTAATCAAAATCGACCTAAATAAATTGCCAATAATTACGACTATTAATTAAACTCGTCGCCAAAGTATATAATATATATATTAAGATGTGTAGACTAGACTGGGTTTAACGAACTCCGGTGGCCGCAGCAGCCAGCGAAGAGAAAGAGAGAAATATACAATTTACATTTACATTAGACACGCACCGCCGATCCTATTTATAAAACAATTGTTTGCCTGGTTACGTTGCCCACGTTGCTGCAATCCGTAACTTAGCAACGCGAATATTAATTGAAATTTTATTCGCAATTGAATAATTTGACAAATTTTTTAATATCAATTAATTGTGTTGATGCGAATTAGATGATGATCTTTGAGAGAGAATTGAAGAAAGCAGCGCGTTTGTGTACCACCACTTTTGCCCCCAAAGCTTTCAGAGAGTTTAGCAACCTTAAGAAGAAATCCGGCGAAACTAGTTTCTTTCTTTCTCTCTCTCTCTCTCTTTATTTTATTGTTCTGCTTGTGAGGTTCTCGTAAAACGGATACACCATTAACAACGTTCCGTTTTGTTGTTGTTGTTTATGAAAAAAATAAATTTAGTAACGGTTTTTATTTTCTCGTCTCGAAAGAAATTCAATTTAAATCCGAGGGTCAGAAGAAAAGGCTTTTTTGTAAAGAAAGGGTCAGGTATAAAAAAAATTAAAAAGAAAATTGAGGAAGGACACAGCTGCATCTTTGCTACCTTCAGAAAGACCACACCCAAAAAGATGTTAAAGAAAAGACCAGGTGCATGTGTGAATTAGTCCATATATATTAGGTTGAAACTATAACAGGAAGTGTTTTATGGTCTAAATGTTGTGTTGACGTGTCAAGTTTTTTTTTTTGATGAAGAGAAATTTCGCCATGTTTATTAACATAAACATTAGGTCATTCGTCGTTTCGTGACATTTTCTTCGTTGTTGTTTTTGTTTATTATGTCATCTCGGGCAAGAGTGACCTTGTGTCAAATACACGATTTTTGTTTCGCGCACGGCCTACGTTTACGTAGGACAAGTGGTCATTACTTTGACCAATCGAAATGTCTAAATATAGTCATGAATGATGATGATGATGAATCACGACGCCTCTTTCTAATTTATTAATTTCGCACGTAGAGTGCTGTGCTGCTTCTATAGAAGAAACGGGAGGAAGTCACGACTTAAAGACTTCTTTCCTCGTATCTCTCTCTCTTATTATTATTATTATCAGAGTGGGCGTTGAAGGGAATACAAATTGACGACAACAATAGAAGGAAACGAAAAGCGTTTTCAACCTTTCTCTTTACTTCTACAATAATTCTTCTCCGCTTTTGGCAATTCATCCGTTTTGTGTAGTATGATTTCTTTTTTCTAGCCGATGCTCCTAATATAGACAATGATACATTAGCATAATCTGTGTGTTAATGCGACTCTAAATGGAAGAAACGCGCGGTGGTCTAGATTCTCTCTTGAAAACACGTCATACGAATGAGATTTTTACACGAAATATGATCTAAAAACGAAATTATATAGCTTCGAAATGTTTTTGCACTGAATTGCAACGAAAAACTGAAATTATCTATGCAATTCAATGACGTTATTAATTTGATTGGAAATGATGGAACGTCAAATTTGACGTTTGCAATTTGATTATTGAAACGTCAAATTTGACAATTATAAGAATTGTGACGTTTAATTTTGACAATTACGCGAAATAATTTTGGAAGATTGCAATTTTTTGTTGTTTTGCGAGGTGGGCTTAGGTGTACAGTAGATAAGAGAAATAATACTCTAAAAATATAAAACGTGTCCAAGGTTGTGATGATGTCAATTGGTTGAAGAAAAAAAACTTAAGAACCTTGACTCGGAATTGTGTTAATGCGATCGGTTCTTGAATTTTCAAAAATAGTGGTGATTCATCGTTGAATGATTTTGATAAAAACAAATATTAATTGTGAAATTGAGTCATCGATCGATTGATTGATTGATTGCGATGGGAGAGAGTCCGCGCCCAAAGAGAAGTTGTTGCAAATTGAAATTTGTTGTTTGTTAAAAAGAATGCCGGTCGGATGATGATGATGTCATGTTGAAAATATTTCAAACAAGATAAATTAATCCAATTAGCGAGTTACGCAATTCGCGGAGTTGGCTCTGGATGAGATGATGATGAAGAAACAAGAAGTGTACGTTTCCATGGAAAAATCGTTAAAATGAACGCGGGGGGATGCGCGCGGATCTATGGATTTTTATGGTGGCGACTGTACTTTGGCTGGCAACCGACACCCGGCGTGGTCTAACGGTTTTTTTTTTGTCTCTCAACGGTTTTTCTTGGGAAAAAAGCCGGCGTTTTCCGGAGCCGCAAACACGAAAACCGGTGAATTTTCTAATAGGAATCAATTAGAAAAGCCGGCGAATGTCGGCGGAGCAACACAACATCCGGATGCCGGCTCTCAACATATCAACAAGATGGCCGGGGCGAGGCTCTTTTTTTTTTATTTCTCTCTTCGATCTAATCTAGTAATCCCGTTTATTTGTTTGTTTGTTGTCTACTTACTTTGGCTCCAATCTGGTTACCGCATTGGCCGGCTTGGATGTGCACGATTTCCCTCATATTGTTGGATGTGTAATAAAACTAGCTCTCTGTATTTATGAAACACTGAACTTTTTTTCTTGCCTCGTTTTTGTTGTTTGTGTCGACGCTGCTCTCAGTCGATCGCTCTGTGAAATGCGTCTTTCCGCTGGCCACGTCAGGTTTTATACCCGAGCCGGACCTGCGCGTGGGGGGCGCCCTCTAACCGCATCGCACCACTCCGAAATTCAAATTTTGCCCGCGAAATACCCGCCTTCAATGCACATTTGCATAACTCCGTCTCTCTCTTTCTCACTCAAACTCACACATTCGTACACGCATACGCCTTACACCGGGATGAGGTCATCCACCATACCAATTCCGAACGTCTCTTTTTTTTTTTTTTCTCCTATTGTATAACTTTTTGCAAAGAGTTGTAATTCTTCGTAGAGAAGTAACTGAATTTGTCGTCTTTTCTCATTGTTTTCTCAATGAAGGGATCCGTTCGCATCAAGAGCTCCATATCGAATGCAGTTCACGTAGATTATTTGATAACAGGTGGCGTTATCTAATCTCATTTAATTGCGATAACAATTACGCCTTGCGTTACGTCAAGCGACACTTTGTTGACCAACGGGCTTTTCTTTTTCCTCGATTACTCAATCAACGCACCTCATTTCGACAATAACAATCGCATCTGTCAATAATCAATAATATTTACTTTTTTTTCCCCTCAAAATTGTTAACCAATTCAAGGCAACTAAAATCAGCATTTGCAATAATTTATTATCAACATAACCAAATTGACATCTGTCACAATTGACAAGTAATAATAATCGCATCTGTCAAAATTGATGATAACCAATAATATTTACTTCTTTCCCTCAAGATGACACACCCCTTATAAACATTGTTAACCAATTCAAGTGTAAATTTGGCAACTGAAATCAGCAATTGAAATAATTTATTATCAACATAACCAAATTGACATCTGTCACAATTGACAACTAATAACAATCGCATCTGTCAAATTGATGATAACTAATAATATTTACTTCTTTCACTCAAGATGACACACCCCTAGCAACGTTGTTAACCAATTCAAATGTAAATTTGGCAACTGAAATCTGCAATATTTTTTTATCAACATAACCAAATTGACATCTGTCACAATTGACAACTAATAACAATCGCATCTGTCACAATTGATGATAACCAATAATATTTATTTTTTTCCCTCAACATGACACACCCCTTATCAACATTGTTAACCAATTCAAGTGTCAAATTTGGCAACTGAAATCAGCAATTGCAATAATTTATTATCAACATAACCAAATTGATATCTGTCACAATTGACAACTAATAACAGTCGCATCTGTCAAAATTGATGATAACCAATAATATTTACTTTTTTCCCTCAAAATGACACAATGATCCCTTATCAACATTGTTAACCAATTCAAGTGTAAATTTCGCAACTGAAATCAGCAATTGCAATAATTTATTATCAACATAACTAAATTGACATCTGTCACAATTGACAACTAATAATAATAACATCTGTCACAATTGACAACTAATAATAATAACATCTGTCACAATTGACAAATTTGTTTATTGATTAACATCGGACCGAATACAGTTGCTATGGTAATGACAATTATTGATTTAGATGAAGGGTTCTAACCGATTCGAAAATATCCGTGTAGAATAAATAATGATAACATACAAATCGGTATTGATTGATTGATTGTAATAAACTGTAATAGATTTAGTTGAGTTTTTGTTATTGATTTGTAGACGAACGACAGATTAGGAAATAATACTAACATAGAAAATTGATACAAATTTTCCCTTGAATCATTTGTAATATATAGTTAATTACAAGGTTGTTTAGTAACAGAAATGTTAAAATCACCCATCCGTAAAAAAAAATTACTTAACTCTGTAAATTTTATAAAGATTTCCAGGTACTCGATTTTCTTAAATTTGAAAATGTAATTGAGATAAAATTATTTATGGTTAAGTTTACTGTGAAAGTAAATATAATCTAGTACGTGTTGACGTATTTAAAACAAAATAAATAAGTGAATAACGTAAGTAACGTAAACAAATGCAAGAGCCAAAAACATTACTCGAATAATATACGCTTAATTCTGAAGCAGTACACGAGAAGAAATAAACAGATGAACGACGAAATCATCAATAAAACGTATCCTCTTCTTCGAACAGACAAACAAAAGTCTGTGCATTTCCAACGAACGAAAAATGTGAAACCTTCAATTCGTATGCTTGAATTTTTAGTTTCTTCGGAAGATTATCGTAATTAAGTTCGTCTCTCGGTCTGCAAGTCAAGCGTGCAAGACTGTTTAGATTTCTTTCTTCCACTTTACAGTTTGTAGTATAATCGTAGTTGGTTAGTAATGGTTGCAGCATCCCACGAATTCAATTGATATCCGATTAGTTGCCATGGCAATCATCATCATCATGATTATTAGCCTCCCCCGCAACCGCTGAAAACAATAGAATTACTCGAGCTGGAATTAAATAATTGAACTCGTATAAAGTATTATATATAAGAGACGGACAAATACAAATTGGTTTAATGGCACTAAAATTTGTTACATCAACTCCAACGATAGTTACGAATTGGAATTTGATAATTGTTGTTGTTTTTTTTCAACGAAATATCGAGTTTTGTGAGGTTACATGAATCAGTTGACATTATTTGCTTAAACAACTGATGTCATGGTTGTTGTTTTCTGTTTTTATTGCCTTCTTTGATTCAATTCTTACGAGGAATTGATTAATCTGCATCTATTTTTAAATTAGAAACGAGCGTATTTAGTCGTTACGAGTCGACGCAGTCTCGTGGGCTTCGGATCTAGGAAACAGTTGGCGGTTTCTTTCCATTCTCGGCGAAACGCAGTGGGCGTCGTCTTCGACGTGTCCACTAAACCATATTATATTTTTCTTTATTTTT